TACAGGCGCATGTCGCCACACCCAGCTCATTTTTGTATTTTTTAGTAGAGACGGGGTTGCACCATGTTGGCCAGGCTGGTCTCCAACTACTGACCTCGTGATATGATCAAATTTCTTAGCAAGAGACAGGGCATAACATTTTTAACAAACTTCAAACTAAGCATTTTAGAATATGTAGGATTCCCCTTTGAGTGATCTTAACTGTTTGCCTTGTCTGTTTTTAACCCTGTGGACCACTAATGCTTACCTGTTGTAAAGTGAAACATATTTTGATTGCCTAAGAAGCACCACTTCCAACCATGTGCATGACAAAATGTACCACCTTGCACCACCAGTTTAGCTACCCTCAACTAGTCCTAACTCCCACATTTCTAGATGCATATGGGCACCAGCCTACCCAAATCTAATTCCTGCAGATAATTCCATTTCTGTTGAGCCAAATAAACTTTATTTGCCAAAGGAAAAAAATGGAATAGGTCAATGGATTGCTGCCTATTCTGACTAATTTCCATTTCCTCAGCTCTAGCTTCTTGCAGAGTTTAGGCAAGAAACCGGCAACCTTGGCTGTGCTTTGGAATCATCTAAGGGGCTTTTTAAAAAGCTACAAATGCTTGGATGCTGCTCCCAGAAATTTTGATTTAATTTGTCTGGGTTGCAGCCCACCTATCCAAATTGTAGTCGGAGTTAAGAACCATAGCCACAGTTTCAGTCTCCTCATTATGAGCATGGGGTCATAATTACCTTACATACCTCTTGTGATAGTTCAAGGAGATAATATGTGATCTTAGAATCCCTAACACTTCCATTCCTCCTTTGCTTCAAGGAAGACAAATGAAAAGGCAAGACGGGGTTGGCAATTCTGGGAAGGTGCGAAGGAGGGATCTTTTTGCAGAGTTCTTCCAATGAGCAGTTCATTAGGGTTAACAAGCTATCCTTGGTTAAAGCAAACGCTCTTGAAGGATTAAGCCTCATTCTCGCCTTAGTGTGAATGACTTTAATCAGATAACCTCCTATCACCTGTTGAAGATTTGTTACTGAAAGTCTAGGAGAGGCAAGGAGAGAGAGTTGCAAGGCCAGTTTGGGATTCACTGGGCCAAGCCAGAGAAGCCTCAAACTCTAGGAAATAAACCTGATACTAGTAAGCTTTCCATAATGACAGCAAGAAAAATCTGAAAAACAAACTTTTTCCTCATGTTATTCAGACAATACTTATTAAAAAGTGTTTTTCTGATCAAATTTTTTTTATCTGTCTGATAGCCTTTCATGACTTTTTTTTTCTGACTTTCTTTCTGCCATGAAGCTCTTAACAAGTGTCGGGTAATTTTACCATTTGCCAGCTGCTTGGGAGTCCATGAGGAGCAAGGCCTTGCCCAGTCCTATCCTCCTTGCCATCTGCTTGGCACATGGTAAACACGCAGGGTTTGTTGAATTTAACTGAATGGTTTCATTTGCTACACTCTTTTCCAACTGTGTTTTTTCCGCTACGTCTGTCCCCAACCACTAGACTATGAACACCTTGCAAAAGACTTAATAATTTCTTTATCCCCAGTGCCAAGCACAACCCTTGGCACATAGTCAGTAGTCAATGAGTATGTGTTAAATGTATTAAGAAGCAATAGCCAGGGCACTGATGCCTAAGTTATTAAAATTAATTTATGACTGTACTGCCCAGTTTGCACTCTGTTGGACAAAGCACAGAGGAAAGAGAAAAACAGATATATGAAACTCCCACTATTTATTAATGGGACAAATGTTGTTCTTATTAAAAGATCTCTTTAGAACATCTTTTGAGACATGATTTGAAGGTAATTTCAGGAAACTCAGGCAAGAAGGAATAAGAGGATCTAACAAAAGATCCACAGAGAGAACTCGCACAATGGAATAAAAAGAGAGAGATGTGGAATATCATCGAAACCAAAAAAAGAAACGTCAAAAATACAATGAGTAGGTAGATAGATACAGCAGATATTTAGGAACATCAGCCCTGTTATTGGCATTGTCAAAGATTGGTTTACCTTTAGGAATAAATAAGACAAAAGGCCATATTTTTTTCATATTTGTTTTCATATGAAACAGGGTTACTATGCAGAAATGTTTGGGTTACAGTACATAAAACAGTTACACTACAACATTTATATTAAAAGGCCTATTAGATACTATTTTTAAAAGGTTGCAAGGGAATTCTGGGCTAAATGACAACATGAAATTTTATGAAATGGTAGAAGGTGTTTTACAATATTACATGTAATCATATATTATAAGCATAAATAGGTAACATGTCAATTTTGACCTTCTGGCTATATTTTATATTTATTTTTATATCTGTTTAATTTATTGAAAGACCATGATTGCATATTTCCTTTGCTTTAATGACAGACCATAGTAGAAGGTGTGTGTACATCCCAGGTAGAGCATTTATAAATATATTATATGTTAGACAGATGAATTCGGGAGCTCGGTGTACTGGCTGTGAAACACTGTGGGGCAGGAGGCTTGACCTCTTGCTGGCCACAAGGCTTTGGTCAAGGGCCAACTCTCCAGCTTCCATTACCTCATGAAAAATGAAGATTTTATATATAAATGGTATGGGGATGTTCTTTGTTTTATAAGACTGTCTTAAAAGGTTACATTTAGAAAAGAAATTGCATATATAGTACAGTATTAACTATGCTTTAAAAAATGCATTGGAAAAGCCTAGAAGGAAATAAACCATAATACAAACAGTGACTATCTCTGGGAACTGGAAACACTGGTAATTGTTATAAAAATATTCTATCTTCAATAATTTTGAATTTTCTATATTGTGTTGACTCGAAAAAAGTCACACATACACAGGCATACCACATCTCACTTCCCTCAAGGTATGTATCTTGAGGATCATGAGTCTTATGGCTTCTCTTCAACTCTGAGATGCAATTCTAACACTTGTTGTACCCCACTGCTGAGAGTCTTCAACCAAATCACTTTCTGCTGCTGGGCCCCCAGCCATTTGCTGCCCATTGCTCTCCTAGACAGAGCCTACTCTTGGTTTGCTCTCATTCTTAGCAGTGGTGCACTTCATGCATTCTGTTCTGAGATTAGACTATCAGCCTCCACACAGCAGTCAAGAGTTACTTTACAAACATTTAGTTATCTTTGTGAAAACCAAATTTAGATAATGTTCCATCACCCCACTCCCACCCCTGCCTCTAACATAATCAAACACTTCAATGGTTCCCAGTGACGAAAAGTATCATAGTTGTAGTTTTGCATTTTGAGTGTGATTAATTTGATGAAGATTCATTTTGTTTCCTCTTTCTTGACTGTAAGCTCCTTGAGGTTAAGTAGTTTTTATTCACCATTGGCTCTCTAGCCCTACGTGAAGTCAGGCCTGAGGGCTCTTGCCATGCAGTCCTCATTGCTTTGAATGCTCTTTCCCCAGCTATTCCTCACTTCACCAAGAACCTTGCTGGCATATGACCATCTCAGTCCTCTGTTGTGTTTTACATATCCTCCCCTCCAAATCCCCCAACCTGCTTTATTTTATTTCATGGCACTTACCTCCATCTGAGATTACCTCATATGTTTACCTTTTTTTTTCCTTGACTTATTTTTTGTTGCTTGTCTCCCCTTAGTAGAATGCAACCCCTTTGAGGGAAATGATTTATCTGTGCTGTTCAATTCTGTAACCACAGTACCTAGAATAGGAGTTAGCCATGGCTGATGCTCAATAAATGTTCATGAAATGAATACAGTCATTGTATGAAAAGTGCTTTCTGAATGGAAAGAAGAAAGGAAGGATTAAACAACGGAAAGAATAAAAGAAGGAAAAAAAGGAAAGAAGGAAGAAACTGAGGAAGGAAGAACATATTCTTGGAAATCTAATGTAGCACCTCCTCACATTAAACTTGGGGAACTGTTAGGGCCATTTTAGAGCTTCTTCTTGTCCTCATTGTCTTTAAGAAAAAAAAAAATGACAATGAAAATGAATGGCCTGAGAGAGTGAGAAGACACTAATGTCAGTTCTGTTCTGCCATGGTGCCAAGTTCCTTATATAATGCACTTCTCTGGTTTAACAAGGGAACAAGGCCAGATGCTCTCTAACATTCCATTCAATGCTAAAATTCTATTATTCTGAACTTGTAATTTCAAAATGTATTTGCTTATTGTCTCTCTATTGCCAGATTTTAAAATAATGATATTGAACACGTAAACTCAACTTTTAGGTAAAATAGCTTAATTGAGAAATGCATAATAAAGTTAATATTTAACTGTTTTGAATTTTATAAACACTTAGTAGCAAATGTTGACATTATATGTTTTCACATTCATGTGCTACACGTTATACATACAACATATTGTATTATGTATCAAATATATATAATATCTATTAGAATATTTTTATTTTTAAATCATGAGCATAAAGAACTTGTGCTGTGTGTGAAATATATAAAGGTCTTTGAAATTAAACTAAATTCACATAATCCTATCAAGTATATTTATTCAAATATAGAAACAAGTTTCAATTCTACAAAAGGTCTCAGCTCTCTCCTCAACTCTGTTGTGAAGTTTAATGTGATACATCTAATGCATCTACTTAAACTTGATTCTCCATACAAGAATGTTTGCAACTTTTGATTGCCTTTTAAGAGTTCTCTTCTCTTGATCATCTATATTTAAACATTGATTAGGAAGCAGAGTACATGAGACTAGGTTCTGGATTTGACACTATCTTTCAATCAATTATTTTTATCCTGGTATAATAAAAATAGTATTTAAAAGAGTATACCCCTTGAGATATTTTTATTTAGGTGATTTGTGTGTGTGTGTGTGTGTGTGTGTGTGTGTGTGTATGTGTGTGTGTGCGTGTGTGAGGAAAGACAAGTTATATTGGAGGGGCAGTGAGAGCTCATTGAGCTATGAATGTGGTATGCAGAAGAAGTAAGTCACAATTCACACATGCACTCACACACTTATATAGGTGCCTTAAATATTCCCATTGGAATGAAAAAGATAAATGCTGCCATTATCTTTATCTTTATTATTGGTAAACAGGGAGCTGATATTATCTATGTCCCTTAACTGTATTTCTATTGAGATTCATTGGTATAACTAAAACTTAAATGGACTAAAGTATTTCAGGAACTGAAGTGAACACTCTTTTCTTTATTTGAAATTTAGTTTTATTTTACCTGAAATTGCTTTCTATAATTTCCCTCTCCACCCACGAATGACCTTCTTTTTATATTCATGGATATACTCACTATGAACCTGTGGACTATAATGACACTTCACAGAAGCAGGAGAAACCATAATGTTCTCCTGGCACTGAGGGAATAGCAATGGTATTCTAAATGAGGAACTATTAACTTTTTATTACTATAATGATTTTTTAGTAATTTCCATAGTTTGAAATGTGGGTAGGATGCTGCTGGCAGTTGAAAGCTGACAACATGATTTTAATAGTTTCAACATATGATCTGGTGTTTGTTACAGTGCTTTAAAATTTTAAATGCCATCATTCATGTTCTAATGTTATCAATGGTAAATTAGGCCAAATCAGTGGTAATGTAGTTTTATATCACAATTTATTTGGACTCATTTTGAATTATAGATTGACCATTGTTTTATGAGTTTTCTTAGCCATCCTTTTTCTCTCTATCTAATGTAAACTAACATTTTTCCTCTTCTTTGTCATTTACCAGGATGGTTATTCTACTGTTTCTAACATTAAAGGATCATCCTTGTATTTCTTTGTATTCTGTCATGGAGCAAAAAACATGTCTCAGTTTCAATTTCTCTTTTGCTCCCAGAAGCTCCCCGCTCCTCCAGTGTTGAAGTAGAAACATAGTTTTCGCTCTTGCACCATAAACAGGTTCAAAAGTCCTGTGTTTCACCATGTTGCCCCAAACAGCAAATTTTCTAACCCACATGAAAAAAGAACACATTTCTAACTTGGAATTCTACACGGGTTTATGTTGAGAACAAATTTCTACCACCAGGATTAGTCCTTAGTGGTTTGCAGGCATTCTGAGCAGAGGGGCATGGAAGCCAGCTATAGGCACCAACCTGCTAGCAGGTGCAAAGGTTGCTCTGCTAAGAAGTTAGGCCTTTAATATCACAGAGAATGGCAGGCAAAATGAAGAAATTAGAAGGCAAGTAGCAAGCAATTCAGTAGGCTAAGCCAGGGATTTGGGAGTCTCCCAAGGCTCCTCCCTTCCTCATTCCCTGAATGAGTCATTTTTCCAGTCTGTCCACACCCATTCAACCCCTCCAGCCCACACTCTCATTCACCCTCCAAGCTGCCACCACAGGAACTTTCTGCAGTACAAGTCCAGACTCCATCTCTGGCCCTTGCTGCCTAAACTTTTCCAGTTCATTAGCTTTGACAGTAAAGTTGAAACTCAGATTAACACAGACCTACTTTTAGCGTCATCTCCTGCCACTCTCCTCTACTACCCTCCCCTCACTTCTCACAGAAAGGCTGAGAAGGCTGTATATGCCTTGTATATGCCCTGCTCTTTTCGTTTCTTTTGAGACAGGGCCTTTCAATGTTACCCAGGCTGGTCTCATAAACTCCTGACCTCAAGTGATCCTCCCTCCTTCTCAGTCTCCTAAAGTGCTCGGATTACAGGTGTGAGCCACGCCACCCAGCCTGCCCTGGTCTTTTCTCTTCTCCACCCAGACTCTACTCCCTTTTGATCTTTTGATCTTGCTAACTTGTACACACCTTTCAAAGCACCAGTTAAATGTAAATCCTCCAGGAACTCTTTGTTCGCCATCCTCAGAGCCCTCACGGGATTGCCTCCGACATCACAGTACTTATCCCTTAGGCAAAATTAATTGGTTTGTCTCTCACCTAGTAGAGGTGTTATCCTTGAGTATAGAGACTGTCTTACCCATTCTTGCATCACTGGCATGGTAGGCACTAAATGTAGTTGCTGAATGTTTAATAAGAGGAACGGAAGTCTTCATAGCTTGGGGTAGTTACTAATGGGCAGACAGAAAGTTCCCATCCCTGTTCTCTGAGAAAGTGTCAGTGTCCTTTTTGCTTACACTGTGTGGGTACTTGAGTTCTTTTAAACGATTAACGCTGGGAAGGGGCACCATTTAATTAATTAATTTGTTCTGGAAGTAATCGGTGTACAATTTTAACTCAGTGCTTTGTAGATCTAGCTAAAGGGCAAGAACTCAAGTCAGCTATTAGTGCTTCTGGAAGATATTTCTGCACTTTAGCACCTTTCTGATGTTTTTCCTTCACCCCGAGCTGGCCTCACTCTCTTCAACACAACCTAGCCTGCAGGAAGAACGTTGTACCATATCCAGCATTTTTGTCCCAAATGTGGGACAAACGTTTTTCACCAAAATCATCCTTGAACAAGTTATTGGAATTCCTTACGAAGGAAATCCTGCCCCCAATCTCCAAAACTTTATCACACCACAGATGTTCAGGATTCTTTCCATTCAAAGTGAAGCCAAGTTACACCTTATAACACCCAGTGAATTATAATATGGGGCTGTGGTTTATTTGCTCTGGCGACAATATGGCTTACTTGCCGTGAAATATCCCAGTACTTAATATGTTATAAATACAAACGTATATATTATATAAAATATAAATATATTTATAATATATTAAAAATAGTTATATTAATATATTTATAATATTAAAAATAATATATTATTTTCAAAGAGGGAGCTTTGCTTTCTATAAATCACATAGTGCAAAGTTGAGAATATATTGTAAAGTCCAAATATTATTTACAAACTAGAAGGAAAGCTGGATGTGAGTGTTTGTGCTTGTGAGACAGTTTCACTAAGGAATTCCAAAACTGTGGACAGCCTGTTACTTGAGAAAAATACACAGTGGCAGTCTTGCAGATGTTTTTCCCGCCTGTTCGCCTTCCAGGTTCAGAAACTGGTGCATTTTAAGGCGGCAGTCCCAACAGATCCCAGGATTCTAGTCTAACAGGTTTCTAACCTTCAGTCTAACCTTTCCGGCTTCCTTGCAAAGCCCGGTGCAAGGGCCTCATTCAAAACGAACCCACCGACGTGCGCGGCTAGTCGGTAGGAGCAGAAGTAGCGGGAGGGCGTCCCCTCTGCACGCCCGCCGCGAGGTTACAATGTCGAACGCAAAAGATGGAAGATACCAACCGAAGCCGAGGGGATCCACGGCGCCCACGCGGGCTCCAGCTTCCTCCTGCTCTTGGCGCCGCGGGGCGAGCGCCCATGACCCGTCCTTGCGGACTCTGCCGGGTTGAGAGGAGACTCTGGGGCCTGGGGAAGCGCGGGAGGGCGCCAACGGAAAGTTGCAGAGCGTTTTCCTCGCCGCCGCGTGCATTCAGGAGCTCGACGAGTCCGCCCTGGGCTTCCTGGTGGGGCTGGGCGGGCGGGGGAGGGGCCGCGCAGCAGCAGCGGAAGCCAGACCTCGGCGATAAGAGGCTGCACAGCGACATGCAACAGTCTTTTCACTGCAGCTGAATGAGTTGTGGCGCCCACAATGCTCCCGTGACAAGGAGCTGACAAGTTCTATTTTCCGTCGCGGGCATCTTGGAATCATGACTCCCACAATGCCTTGGGCACTCGGTCGACAGTCGGGCCGCCTCTGAAAAAAAATGTGAGAGGTAAGTTTCCATTTTCACAGTTTCCCCGCGCCGCTCCTCCGCGCTTCATTGTTCGGACTCCGGCGGGGCTGCCCGTGGCTGAAGGAGGAAGTGCGAGGAGGTGCTTGCCGGCCGAGGCTCTCCCGGGCCGGGGCGGGCCGCGCGCGGCGGTTGGTTTCGCGTTCCTCAGCACCTCCTGCCCCGGGGAAGGCGGGAGGCTGAGCTGCAGCAGCTCCTGCGCCCTTCCCCGCCGCGGGCTCTGCGGACGCTGTCACTGCGCAGCCGGCGCGCGGCTTGGCAGCCCAGCGGGACCGAGGGAGAAACAGGGGGGCGAGAAGAGAAACAGGTGCGTGCAAGTGTACTCACAACTTAATGACCTTTGTCGGGGGAAGGTGCGAGTCCCTCCGAGGCGAGCGGCGCGCGGGTTCTCCCGGCGGCTCCCGCATCCCTGGCCCCGGGGCTGCCATCCCGCCCGGTTTTCATCTGGGCCAAATATGTGCACGCAAAGGTTAATTCTCTGCCTGCTACCCATAAATTACGCATGACATGTTTAGCTGGGCTGCCTTATATGGAGAGTGCTGTATTTCAGGCCAGTTTGCCTTTTGCCAAGTTTACAGGGCGGAAGACGCCCTGTAGGAGAGGGCTGTCTCCTCCTCTTCTTCTTCTTCTTCTTTTTTTTTTTTTTTTCCGTCGTTTTGTAGTGCGTCACTCAAAAACTGTAAGAAAAGTAAGTATAGAAGCTTCTTGGGTGGAGCCGCAGTTGATTGATTGAATTGCTTTCATGAAAGGTTGAAAAGAATGAAAAGTAGTTAGTACTTGGGTTCTGCTTTTTAGACAAAAGCAGGACAAATATGTAGTCCCCCCTACTTTTTTTTTTTTTTTTTTCAAACGGAGCCGGAATCTGTTATTGGTAGTAATGTGTCATGTGAGAATACTTTGATTCCAGAGCCTGTAACACGAGCAGGTATATGGTGACGCTTATGCCTTATGCCTTCCCCTCGCACAGTACTTTACAATTGCAAGGGTGCTGCTGCCAGACTAATATTGTGTTTTTAAGGCTCTCTGGGGCCGGGAGGGAGAGTATGCGGCTGTTGGGATTCTGGGGTGTGTTTCTGTGAAGTATGCCTCCCCAGGATGAAAACTGAGTAAGAAGCTGCCAGAAAGGTTGTTGCCGCCGACTTTACCTTGTGTGCCCACCAGCACAGGCATAAGCCATAGCAGATGGATGGCAAACTCTGCCATATACTCTGAGGAATTTCTTAAATTAATACGCTAGGAGAGAAGTCATAATTAATGCTTTTAGATTTTCGGGCCCTCTGCAACGTGCTTTGAAATACTACACCAGTGGACAATGTGTCCCTCCCTCCTGGGTTTGAACACTGTTTATATAAAGAGGATGTTTAGTACATAACTATTCTATACCAGCATAAGAGAGCCACTCCATAGTTATCTCTGTGTGGGTTCCTAAGTGTGTTGGTGTTTCTCCTTGCTGTTGAGATAAAACACTATCACCAAGACAGAAAATGAAAGTTCAACGGCTGTAAAATTCATCCCAAGAATGTGCAGTTCAATACTTAGAATGTCTTAGATGTAGTTATAGATAGAGGCACTGAATAAATTATTTTGTAGCCTGAGAATGCACATCACTGTCTGTCACTTATATCTTTCTTTCTTAAAGTTGGTGACAGCTGCAGCTCAAAACTTTTTTAGTTTCCAAATGTTCCAATTTTCATCTGTTTTGTGTATTTGCATGGGAGTTACTTTATTATTATTTTTACTATATTGTTAGGTCTTTAAAAATGTAGGCTTTTTTAAAGTTTTCTTTGTTTAGTAGGGGGTTTCCTTGCTGAAGATTACAAAAGGTGCCTTTGTGTTTTAAAGAACAGGTTGGGTCAGCAACAGAAAACCTTTTCATCTATAATTATAGTGTCACTTAAGACATAATAATCAGATTTCATTATTAGTAAGACTCAGAAAAACCTCACATATGCCTAGTTTAATTTTTTTCCTCATGTGACTATGAACAAATTTGTGTGTAGATACACATCAAGTGTAGTACTCTGTGTAGTCATGCCAAAGAGAAACTGAAGTGTTATATGGGTTGAGATATTATTTCTTATGTTTACAGTTCCACATTTGAGGCAAAGTTAGACTCCAATTTGAATTCCTTAAATTTTGATTCCAACATTCTGTTCTTCCTTTAGGCACAGAATTCCTATGAAATGAAACACTGGGTTTTGTTCCAGAACAAGAACAGACTATCCCAAAATTTCTCCTGGGGGAAAAAAAAGAGTAAAGCTATATTTCTTATTGAGGGAGAGTGTGTTACTTTATTATATAAAATGCCCTATCTTCATTATAAGCAAAAAAAAAAAAAAAAAAAAGCCCTTACATTTGTCATACATTAGGCTTTTGATAGACCTATTTATGGAAACAGAGAATAAATAGTTTTGCTGCACCTTCTGGTTTTCTGCCTGGTGATAGATGTACAGATTAGAGAACATCTCAGGTCTTGCTTAGAAGAAGTTGAAAAGAATAGGTGATTCGGTTGTTAAAATTCCATAAGCAAAGGCATTAGGGTGGGTGGTAGATACGAGAGTCAAGGGAGTGGAGGAAAGAAGTGAAATAGGTTCACGAAGTGATTGGCTCAAAATAAAAGCCCAACAATATGGATGACAGAGAACGTGACATAGGAAGATGTTTAAAGTGTATGGTCTTTTAAAGCAAAAATCTTCATATTTTTGGAAATATAGAATGTACTGTCCAGTACAGTAGCCACATGCGACTGTTGAGCATTTGAAATGTGTGTAGTCCAGATCGAGAAGTGTAAAATACGACTGGGTTTTCAAAACTTTATATGAGGGAAAGAATGTAAAACATCTGATTAATGTTTTTATATTGATGATATGTTTTAATGATAATTTTTTGATATATTGGTTCTAATAGAAGATCTTACTGGATTAACTTCACCTGTTTTCTTTTTTTTTTTTTTTTTTTCACTGTGGAGTCTAGAAAACTTAATATAACAAATGTGGCTAACACCGTATTTATTTTGGACAGCGTTGTTCTAGGATAAAGTAGGAAAACAATATTCTGGGAGAAAGCTTAAAGAGTTTGCTGGTCAAACACAATAAAACTGACTTATACGTAGAAATACTTTGTCTTTCTTATCCATTGTAACAAAATTTGAGAAAACATACCACCTAACATCTATTTTTACTTCCTCAAAGCTGCTATTTAGTTTAGAGATTTCATGGTGAGATAGTAATAATAGAGAAAAACTTATAATTAGAGAATGAGTCTTAACACCTCTCAAAGGCCAAAATAGAATATGATTGTTACTTGGGAACATTTTAGAGACACTGTACTTATCATTGTCCTGAAGTTACCAAACATAAACAGTCACTAAAATTATTTTAAAATAGAGTTTTTAGTAAATAGCAATTATCTTCAAATGCTTAATATGTGTTTTCTTTTGCTAGGACTTTCTTTAGAAAATTTAAAAAAAAAAAACAAAACCCACAAATCCAGGGTCCTGAGCAATGGCTGAATTCATAAGAATGAAAGATTTTTACCTGCAGATAAGAGGGCATTGTTTTGAATATTAGGAAAAGTAAAAATATGTTTCTACCGTAACATTATGGGCTTTGAAGAATTTCTATACATGGAGACACTGTCTTTATAATTTGAACACATTCTTGAGAAAGCATCTGACTGGTAAACAAAGCACAATGGCATAGGTCCTGGAAACATTCCTTTCAGATATTTTCATAACTGAAGTACATTTTGCCATTCACAGTGAGTGTTAAGTTGAAAAAATGTGGTTCTTTTCTAGCCATATAAAGTATGCTTACTATTATTTTCTTGAAGGATGCCAAAAAATGTAAGATGGATGTTGTGGATTCTTTCTGGGGAGAGAACTAGATTGTATATGGAGCCTGAAGAAGAGTTGCCTCTCGGCTTGGTGCCATCTTGAATCTGTCTTCCACTATATGAGGCATAGCTTCCATTAGTGTCAGTGCGTGTGTGGAGGGTGAGGGGAAGAATGATCCCCATTAATTTTGTATATTGTTTCTGATGAGTCATGGTGTATATTCACTAATGGTTGGAGAATTATTGATTGCCAAGCAGAGGATTCAAGAAGAGCTATTGTCATATGGCATTAACTGTCTGTAGACATATTTTATATTTTTAAATTGAGGTAGGGAAATTGTTTTTTATGTGGTGTTTTTCGTATTGTAAGATACATACATTATGCAAGCATCACAGATACATTCTTGAAAAAATAGCAAATACATATGTGGTTATAGTTTGCTACATATTACTAGTTTTTTTTTTTTTTTTTTTTTAAACAGATCCAGAACATCTCTTTCAGATAATGATTCATGTTTTTAGAAAGGTATCTCATCATACGTGCCTATGATATCTGTAAAAATATGTGTAACACACATCTTGAAACATTTGTGTTAGGAGTATTAGGTCTTACACATTTGGCTCTTTTTCTACCGTTTTTGATGATGATTAAAATTTTGTTTACTATGAGTATCCTTTGCTAAAACTATGTTTGCTACTGTGATTATCCTTTGTTAAAACAGTTCAGGAAATATTAGTCTCGAAATGTAGCCATATTGGACAGAGTAGAGAATTACTTTTCCACAGAGATCAATTATTCCAAAGAGGTGAAGAAGTTTTGAAATATTATCATGCTTATATGCTCCAAAAGAAAAACCATTATTGCTTTTGACATTCTTTTAAGAAACTCAGAGATGTATACCTAAAGAGGTGAATAATAGTTGATAAAGGTATGTAAAATACATACTCCTGTGAAGTGTGAACACACAATTTGTATGTAAGGCATACATGAGCATA